TGTGTATAGAAGTTAGGACTGATTTGTCTATTTTAAGGGTGAGGGGACAAAGGAGGTAAATGTTTTAGCTTCCATGAACATTTACTGTGAAGGTTCCAGATGAGATCGCAAACTAGCTTATTATTTTTTGTTTTATATGTATGAGTATATTGTCTGCATGCAGGTAAGTGCACCCATGTTGTGCAATGCCCATAGAGGTCAGTTCCCTGGAACTGGAGTTACAGAGGGTTGTTAGCTGCCACATGGGTGCTGGGAATCAAACCCAGGTCCTCTGCAAGGGCAGTCAGTGTTCTGAACCACTGAGCAATCTCTCCAGCCTAGAAATGAAATAATTCTTATATTTATCTCTGGTAAACATACTACATAAATATAAAAAGACAAATGTAGATTCATAACAGAAAACAGAATTTGTCTGCTCATCAGTGACCTGATTTCTAAATGTAACACTTTTAAGTATTTCCTGCTATTTCTTGTAGTATTTGCCTCTGTTTGTTCATATATTTTGATCAATGAAGTTACTTGTTAAGAGCCAACCATACCAATATTATCAGGTATATTCAGAGATTTAAGTATAAATATGTTCATTACATTGTTATTTATAATAACAAAGGAACTGGTAGCAACACTTACTTGAGATGTTTGATAAATGATAATCCAAATGAAAAACAGAATATTAAGCAAACAGATATATTTAATAAATGACAATGAGTAAATAAACAAGTTACACAAGTACATAATAGAATATAGATGGATTATGTTTAGATAGTGAGTGTTAATAAAGATGTTTTCTTAGTGTGCCTACTTGACTTTAAAATTCTCTTTAATAAACATATTTGCTTAAAATCAGAAGTATGAACACTGTTTTAATGTGTGATGGGGTTATTTTTTTATGTTATCTTTGAACAGTAATCTCATGCAAGGTAATGTGAGGCACCATGGGAAAAGCATGCTTTAGTTAGGGATATTTGGGAAAAATGATGGCTTTTCATCCATTTCTTTTTGTGGGAGACAGCATTGGGGTCAATGATGTAGCATTGGCATGAGAGAAGAAAGATAGTTTGATTAGAGCTATTTTGATCATAAGATACTCTATTAGTTACTTTTCTGTTTCTGTGATAGAAACACTGACCAAAGCAATTTATAGAAGGAAGAATTTATTTGAGCTTACCGTTCCAAGAGGCAAGAGTTCATCATGGTGGGGAAGCATGGCGGCAGAGGTGGCTTGGGGGAGGAGTGGAAGCTAAGCTCTCACATTTTCAAGCAGGCACAGGAAGCAAGAGAGACTGGAGATCTGGCAAGGCTTAAGAACTCTCTAAGCCCACTCCCAGTGATGTGCTTCCTCCAGGACAGCCACATCTTTAAGACCTCCCAAAACAACACCACCAACTGGGGATACAATGTCCAAATACTTGGAGCCTATAGGGGACATTCTCATTCAAATCACAGATACATTGTGTGAAGTGATCTGGAGAAACCTGACAAATAAATGGGGTACAAGAGTATGGAAGATGGCAAGTCTCTAGCCAGGTAAGTAGTCAGATTCAGTGAGGTTGGTGGAGCAGGAAGGAGAGTATGCACATCTTACCCATCCAGAGTCAGCAGGTCAGATTTTACAAATGTTATACACAAGAACTGACTTAGTGTGCTATGAAAAAAGACATGAAGTTGGAAGAGAGACGTATTGGGGGAAATGGGGTAGATATGATCATATTTCATGATATTCATATATGGAAGTCTCAGGAATAAATAAAAATAAATACAGTATAATTGTTATACTCTATGGATTCAAACAAACATGAGTTGAAAATATATCCCTCCCAAAACCTCTCAAAACATTAAATATACTGAACATGTATGGACTTTCTTGCCACTATCTTCCAGACATTATAGTCTAACCAATGTTCACAAAGCATTTACATTGTATTAGGTATTATAAATAATCTAGAGATTTTAAAGTTTATGGGATGGAAGTTATATATTTATATATGTATACATATTACATAAGGGACATGAACAACTGTAGATTTTCATGTCCATAGAGTCCTACAATAAGTTCCCCATGGATACTGAGAGCAAATTGCTCTAATGACAGGGTTAAGAGTGGGAATCACCTGGCAGACTCTCTGCTGTCTACAAGACATGACTGATGAAAGATGTAGTCATTTCAGACCTAGTGGTCTTAGTTTCAAGATACCTAAGGGGAGTCAAGATAGGGTCAGCACTCTGCGGTGATTTTGTCAGCTTATTATGGTAGGGAAGAAACAGAGGAGGCAATGCAGGGCTGTAATAAAGACCTTCAAATGAGAGGAAAAGGACCTTAGTGTCATCCAACATGTGGCAAACAATGTGAGGGTAAAACTGTGCTGTGAATATAAGATACAGGGGTCCAAAGAGAAGGTGGTGGTGAAAGTACAGTGAACAATTACCAGATATGTACTAGGAAGATTAGAAGCTTTCAGAAGGATTAGGAAGAAAACTCCAACTCCCCCCAAACTCTGTGAACTGAAGACATATAGCTCTAGCTGCCCGGTAGTCATGGATACTTACAAGTTGCTTTGAAAGATCTGGTACTAGAGTCATTAAATGCTGCATATTAAAAGAAAGAGATGGTGCATTTGTTTATGGTGAGCATCTTCATAAACATACTGCCTTAACATTTCATGAATGATGTGAATCCTGCTGAAATGGCAATAGGTCATGATGGCCATACTTTATTTTTTAGCCATAAAAAAAAGTCACAGTTCTTGGATAAAATGATCCATAAAGGTGGACACAGAAGGAAAGTGAACGTTTTCCTCTTCTCCAGTATGGTGGTTTGAATGAGAATTTTTCCCAAAGGCTCCAAATATTTGGACATTTTGTCCCCAGAATGTTCCCAGCTGGTGGTGCTGTGTTGGAAGGTTTTAGGAGATGCAGCATTGCTGGAGAAAGCACATCTCCGGGGCAGGCTCTGAGAGCTCTTAAGCCTTGCCAGATTTCCAGTCGCTTTCTGATTCCTGTGCTGCTTGAAAATGTGAGCTCTTGGCTTGCTGCTCTGACCACCTCTGCTACTATGCCTCCCTCACCATTATGGGATCGAATCCCTTTGGAATCATAAGTCAAATATACTCCTCCTTCTATAAGTAGGCTTCATTATGCAACAGAAAAGTGACTAATGCATGTGTTTTCTGCACCTTGCAGACAGGACCGCTGTTACCCAGTCCATACATTATAGAGAAATTCTTCAGGTATAGGAATATCTCATTTACATCATAAGGCTGTCACAAAGAAAACAACTTAGAAGGTGACAGTAAAAATTGAGAATTTTTAAGGAGTCTAAACTAAGACTAAAATAAGTATATAAATGCATAGATGCTAGAATTTTGTAAAACTGTCCATATTTTCTAGCACTATGTGTTTGGGTGCTTTTTTTCCCCCTGTAATGAATTGAAAGGGCAGAAGACCAGAGAAAGAAAATTTGAACCTGTATCTTATCCATGGAAGCCAGAGAAGAATTTGGATGTCTTCCAAGGAACAGGAGCAAACTCTCTTGCTTGTTCATTTCCCCTCAGTTTCTCAGGTCATATGTAGTTATGTGAACTGCAGCATCCTGTTGTGAACGGCAGGATTTATTCAATTGCACACGAGCTCATTTATACTAAACTCATTGAGTGTCTGCTGTGTGACATTAGTTGATCTCAAAGCGCTTACAGCAGAGCTAGAGCAAACAAGACTAGAGTATATGAAGCATTTAAAAAAAGTAAAAGATGGTGTAATAAAGGAATAAATTGAATATAATTAAGTGCCTGTCTATATGGTGCCATGAGCAACACTTAATTAAATCTCAGCCACAATCCATGTTCTAGTTCTAAGAAAAGAAACTCCCACAATCTCACTTTTCACTGTAACTACTATCTGTAGTCCAGTCCAGTAATATAATTTAGCAATGGCTGTATTTCCATGCTGAAAAGGGAAATCTATTATTCTTGAAGCGTACATGTGCACTAAAATATCTGCTTAGTTTTCAGGGGAGGGAAGGCAGATTAAATTGCATTTAGTGATTGATTCATCAAGTTTAATACTTCTGGGAAAGAGATACCATCGGTTCATAAAGTCCAGAGAGAAAAACCCAAGACATCAGTAAGACCAATCCTTCACTTTCAGGTGGAACAGAACCTTTGACCTTAACCAAAAAGTTGTGATGAAAATTTGTTATCTTTTCTTCCTGCAGCTATGGAATCAAAGTACAGTAGAAATCTGGTTTAGGGAGCATTACGAAGCCATATGGCATGCTCACTAATACAACATGCCTGGAAGGAAACTAAGTGAACACATATGGCTTTACATTTAGAAATGAAGACTCATCCATCATCAAAGACTTGGAACTCTCACTGCCGTGACATTAAAAAGACGTTACAAGAGAGTATCTGTTTTCTTTTGTGTAGTGTCGTCATCAACACAGACAAGCAAGGAATGGACATGTGTGCATTTCCTCGACTTGATCTGGACTATGAATAGTCTTCAAAGGGATGGAAGGGCCTGAAGCCCCTCTTACATGTAATGCCGATCTTGTATCAGAGATGACTTATGTTATGTGGCCTTTGAAAGAATGAAACTTATGTATCCTGCCAAAGACATAACATTATTAGGGATTATTTTTTAAGAAAAAAAAAAAAAACCGCCAAGTATACGCAAGAGAAGTAGAAGAGAGTTCTACAGTAGAATCCTGTCCCAATCCCCCAAATACTGTCTGGTTTCCTTTTCCAGGAGGAAAGAACATCCATCTCCTCACTGTCTGATTAGAGGAAACATGACAAACTTGTTTAGGATTTCATGACCAACAGAAGTAGGAGAAACAAAATACTCCCAGGTCTTTGCTGCACGCAAGGCCTTCTTAGGATCTCAAAACCAAAGTTACTTTCTCTTCTAATTTTGACCTTTTCTATCTGGCAGATGTTGATTTTTTTTCCTTTGCCTGTGTTTCTAATGGAGCTTGAAATTAACATGACTTTTTTGTTTACCTCTTAATTTGTGTGCCGCCATCATCAATGTTGTCAGCATAGTTCTGGGAATAGGGTTTGTTTACTGCTTCTGTTGAGCAAGCAAATGGAGAGATGCAGAAATGAAAGTTCTGAGCATTCTGTTTCAGGGCAAATTCCTCTAGCCACTGCAGAAATAGTTTTTGCTAAGCAGCCAATACCTTCTGCTGTTATTGTATGTAAAAACCAGCAACCACTTTCAAGTGCTCATTCTTGATGGCATTTATGGTCTGCTAGGACACAGCCGACCATATTCCGACTCCCCTCTACTTTCTGACAACAGGTACACAGACATGGACCTCTTTCTTATTATCTTTGCCCTTTAGATCAGCCTTTGTGGTCTCACTGGGTTTCCTCCTTTTCTCCTACTTTTTGGGAGGTTAACTATTTCCAGTTCTTCAGACATTCCCTATATGGAGATGTGACTCAATTCACCTGGTTTTCTGATTTTGACTGTCTTTTCATTCTGTCACTTACTATGCTTCATGGTCATATCAAGTACAATCTGGGAAATAGGAGGGCAACATTTCTTTTAAAAAATAACTCTGTGTGTGTGTGTGTGTGTGTGTGTGTGTGTGTGTGTGTGTACAAAAAATAACTCTGTGTGTGTGTGTGTGTGTGTGTGTGTGCGCACACCATGGCACAATGTGAGGAGTTCAGAGAACAAATTCTGGGAGTTAGTTCTCTCCTTGGGCTCGAGGTCAGGTCATCATGTTTGCACAGCAAGTGCTTTTACCTGCTGAGCATTCTTACTCACCCTAGAGGTAATATTTCTTCCACCAGGAAGAAAGTGTATTTAAATGTTACAACAAATCTTAGAAACAGAATTTTTGCTTTACTTTTTAAGCCTCCATGGCCTATGAGCCCACTGTTGTGTCCATCAGTCACCTTCAATTGCTTCCATTCACCTTCTCCATAAAGAGTTTTCCAATCAGTAAATACATCTTAGAAGAACAGATACCTCTTTATTTTATGTGTTAAGTTTTAAAACATTTTTATTTTTAAAATTTATTGTTTTAACCCTTTAAAATGTACAGTTCAGTGGCATTAAGTGCATTTACAATGTTGTGCAATTATCACTGTACTCCCTCTTCCAGAGCCTTTTCATCATCCCAAACAGAAGTTCTGTGCCCAATAATAACTTTTCGTTGTCCTTTTCTGTAGCTTCCAGAATCTCTGCTCCACTGTCTTTTAAAAAAATATGTATTATATGTGCATGAGTATATTGCCTACATTTATGTAAATATACCCATGTGGTGCAGTGCCCATAGAAGTCAGAAGGGGGCACTGGATTCCCCTGGAACTGGAATTATGGATGGTTGTTAGCCATCATGTGGGTGCTGGGAACTGAACCCCGGTCCTCTGCAAGAGCATTCAGTGATCTTAACTGCTGTGCCATCTCTCCAGCCTACCACTTTCTGTCCTTATGAATATGCCCATTCAAAGAACTTCCTATAACTATAATCATACAATATTTGTCTGTCTGAGCTAAGTTTATTTCACTTAACACAACCTTTCAACATTTATTGACATTAAAATATGTATTCAAATTTCACTCTATTTTGTAGACATTTGGGTTGTTTCTACCTTTTAGCTACTGTGAATAATGATACATGCATTCTGTTGGAGTTGTTGCTTTCAGAAGGAGAACTCTTTTTGGATTTTTAAACATCTCATTTTTATCCAGAGATAATGTCCAACAGCAGCTTCTCATAGATGAGCATTCTATCCGTGTGCACAACTCTGGTTTTCGTTTTTTCGTCTGTGCTTTCAGATGCATGTTTTACCTCCCCTTGCTTCTGCTGATCCCATGCTCCCTTGGACCCAGCTAATATGAGGCACTGAAAGGAAACTCAGGTGCAGGGAGAGAAAAAGGAAAGCTTCTTCCTCTCTCATTTTGCTCTTTGGGTAGCATCTTTAGCAGTGACTATATTGCCTCTTGACTCCAACTATTCTACTAGAATGATCCACTAGATCCAAGTTCTGCTAGGCCGTCTGTCCTTCTAGGTCCTGCCTTTTTTTTTTTTGCCCCCTCTAGGTCCAGAGAAGGCATGGGGTTACTGATGTTGGTAATCTTGGGTTACCTCATTTTGAGGTTTTGGTTAACTTATCATTGCTTTGACAATTATCTGTATTAAGTTCCCTCTTTTAAAAAAACAACAAAAAGACAGGAATGGAATTTGTGCTCTTGACTGGAACCTCACTGGTGACTGTTCTATTGGAAACAGAAGACACAAAGTGTTTTAGCCCAGAGAAGGTGTAGCGGCAGCTCCCACCTGCCTGGAGTGCGTATCACCTGTCTTCTAGAACCGTTTTCTCAGATCCTGATTCTTGGCTTTGTTTGCAGTGTGGTATGGCCATGTCAGTGCGCTCCAGCTAAAGTGATATAATGAAATATGTTAAACTTTCCAAAGTTAGTAGTCCCATAGGTTCTCTGGAGTACCATGCTGGGACATAGGAATGTGGAGCATATTTTAGGCAAGGTAGGACCAAAAGCAAGAAGCCTGAGTCCTTGAGAACTCTGTGGAGTTGAATTGTCACTCTACCTTTACTCTCCCTACCCCTGCAATTTTACATGAGCAGCAAGTAAAACTCTCTTTTGTCTAAGCTGTTACTATTTTGAGTCTGTTTATTGCAGCCAAGGTGAATCCTAACCCATTCAGGATCCAAATCATGAGCTCTGTTTCTGTCCTCGACTGCTGATGAGTTTCCTTGTACCTTTCCTTAATTAAAGCCGGATGCTTCATCCTTGGATCATAGCCTAAATTTTGGTCTCCTCCTGTTTATACTACAGAACTGACCTATTCTCCTCTACAACGCTTTCAAAAGCTTTATCTCCTTCAACAGCCTTTGCTTTGCAGATTAAGTTTTCTCTGAAAGGGAAGAGGGGTAAAATTCAAGTTGATATCCAACCTAGAAAATGATTAAAGTCTGGATGTTAGGGAATTTTTAATTAAAAGCCTGGGAACATTGGTCCTCGGATATTAATAAAGTCAGTAAAATGGAGAATCAGTGTGACCTAACATCACAAGGCAGGCCATTAGTGTCTTGATCTGATGGCCTCTCTTCATGGAGCTGATGGGCTGTAACTGAACTTAATGACTACCAAGGAGAGATAAATCTCACCTAAGCTTTACCTAAGTGGACATCAATTAGAAATATGGACTTCTAGGATGGTGGTTCCCACACTTTATTGTGTGTGAAATCATTTGGGAGAGCTTGTCTGAAATGAAGATTCACACCCTTCTGCACTTGATTTAGTTGGGCTGGGGTTGGGGGCCAGGAATTATCTGTTGAAAAGGACTCCAGGTACCTCTCAAGTGCATGGTCTGTGGACCACACTATAAGAAACACTACTTTGGGGGAACTCATAAGTTGGCTACAAGTGAAAGAGCTGTCACCAGCTGGGGGTGAGATTAGAGAACATTGATTGATGTATTCCACACGGCAGGGGATCTGCAGACATTGTTCAGATAGTGTCTCACTTCATGCTTATAATAAACCTGCATAGTATTGGTACCTCTGTGTAATAGTGAGCAACTGGAGATTCACTTGCCTAAAGTTACAAAACAGTATGGGAGCTCTAGTAGTGTGTATTGTCTATTCTATTTATTGCTATGTGTGATGATTTTTTATATTATTTTTATTTTATGTGTATGAGTGTATTGCCTGCATGTATGTGAGTACACTAGTGTCGTGCAATTCTGCGGAGGTCAGAGGAGGGCTTCGGATTCCCCTGGAACTGAAGTTAAGGATGGTTCGTAGCTGCCATGTGGGTGCTGGGAATCGAAACCAGGTTCTCTTGCAAGAGCAGTCAGTGCTCTTAAGTGTTGAGCCATCTCTCCAGCCCCATGTGTGATGGTTTTAATGAGAATGTCCTCCATAGGCTACAAGTATTTAAACATTTTGTTCCCAGTTGGTGTTGCTGTTTTGGGAGGTCTTAAAGTTGTGGCTATGCTGGAGTAAGCACATCACTGGGGGCAGGCTTAGAGAGTTCTTAAGCCTTGCCAGATTTCAATTCACTCTCTTGCTTCCTGTGCCTGCCTGAAAATGTGAGATCTTAGCTTCCACTCCTCCTCCAGCCACCTCTGCTACCATGCCTCCCCACTGTGATGAACTCTTGCCCCTTTGGAACTGTAAGCTCAAATAAACTTTTCCTTCTATAAGTTCCCTTGGTCATGGTGTTTCTATCACAGCTTTTCCACTGGGCTCTGTGCTCCTAGACACTGACCTGTACAGAAAGTGTCATGGGTCATCTGCCTCCAGTTTCTGGTTTCTGGCTGGGTGAGGTCTGCCAACCTTAAGTGTTAGGAGATGATAGGAAGGAGAGATAGATAAGAGGGAGGTTAGGCTAGTAGTGCTTCTTCCTGCTCCACTCATTGCAAGCAGCCAGGATGGTCCCCTGAGCAAAGGTCACTACTCTATGTCTACATGTCTGTTTCCTTCCATGTTCCTATAAGTATTCCATTCAGCAACATAGATCATTAGCATTGTTTTTCCTCTCTACTAGGGTGAGGTAGTATGGTAACCCTTTTCCTGTTCTACAGCCTGTACATGACTTTGTAAACACAGTTATTTCTTCATGAAGCTTTCTAAATCCTTATTCTTGAGTGTTTCATCTCTTTCTTACCAGAAACTTGACTGATCAGGCTGCTTGATTTGAACCTTCTGTATGTCCTTTCCTATTCTTTCCTAACAATGCCTCAGTCCAGATGATCATTTTATCTGTCATTTCTCTACATTGATTGTTAAGTGGGATTGAGTATATATATCACATTTCAATTATAATGAAGAGGTGCTCAAGCCAAATAACTACATTTAAAGACTCTCTTGCAGCTAGGTTGTAGGTTGGGCCAGTTAGCTATATTCTTCCAAGATATTTGCATAAAAGAAACATGGTGGAGGCAGAACCTTTAAGACTAAGGTTTTGTTATGGCAGAGTCCCAGAACAATAAGAACTTCATGGGTATACAAAGGCAATTGCAATGATGATTTCCTGGTCTCAGGTTCACAGCTAAGATCATTTGTTATTGATAGCAATCATTTCCCTGC